GGCGAAACGGCACTGGCATTTCGCCATGGTGAATTGTCTTTTGGCGAAACGGTTTTTTACCATCTTTTGTGTACGCAAAATTTTGGGGAATCTCTGACGTTTCGCCAGAGCACGATTCGCCAAAAGACAATTTCCTGGAAATCTCCCTCGAAATATATATTTTCAAACAAACTAAACGAACTAAAAACAAATTCGATATTCCATGATCTGTTCGTCTGTTTAAGGAGATGAACAGTTGAACAGTCTTCGTATGTAAACGGGCAGAGATTAAAAGAAAAGAATTAAGAGGCGAGAGAGACAGAGAGATAAGGAAGAACACGAAAAATAGATATGAAGAAAAAATACATATAAGTGTGACTTATAGAGATAAAGAAAGGATAGTCGGATGAGTTTTCCGCTTCTTTCCTCTTTAAAATGTTTTCCCTATAGTCAAGCGACATTTTCTTTACATATGTATTATCATAATTTAAATAGCGATACCTAAGTCAAGTTGAGGATCAAGAATCACTGAGATTCCTAAGTTAACTTAGGGACTGATAACAATTTACGGTGTTCTAACCATTTACTGGCAAAATATCATGTGCCATTTCGCCAATTGATGAAACTGTACAAATTCTGGGTGAAACGGTATTGACACTTCGCCAATTGGCGAGCCGGCACGTGACATTTCGCCATGGCGAATTGTCTTTTGGCTAATCGTCTTTTGGCGAAACGGTTTTTTACCATTAAATAATTGTTCATAACATGTTGAACTTTCGTCACTAGACACTAAAGCAATGCCAAACGGACGGAAATGACGATCAGCATCAGATGCTCCAAACACTAATAACGGCAATTCATTCCATGTAATTTTGTATGTAGCATGTACTTGTAACAAAGTTGTAAATTGGGTTTGTTGTAAATAATACAAAAATATTATCAACATTATCAATCGAATAATATGGTACAAATGTTGAATGTGATGAATCACCACCATCTTTATGATCATTACACCATTTACGCAAATCATACACCGAAAATATTTCTGGATTATTTTTCCGTCGATTATAGCTGATTATATTCGATAATTGACTTGATGGTAATGGAATATTTGCATGATCAATAGATAATGCAGATTTTCGAAATTTCGATACTTGATGTTGTTGTACTATTGCTGTAACTTCATCGAGTGTTTTCACGACGTTCAAAACTTGCCATTCGTTGTTAGACATTTTAACTTACTTTTGTAGAATTTTTTGAGTACTTTAGCACTAGCACCGAGCGCCTTATATAGAAAAATTAGTCCTATGTATGACACAGTTTACAAAGTTTCATCAATTTGTTCAGTTTGAGTTAGTTTGAGTAATTATTAAAACATATCTTGTTTTGGGGTGCTCATTTGACATATAATTAATTTGGTGCTCAAAAAACATTTCTTCCCTCAAAATCTAGTTTACACTATGATTTTGTAAAAATGAACGTCTCTTCCAGCTACTTAAAACAAAATAATTTCGAAAAAACCGTTACATGCGATATACATACATATTGTATAGATATAGATATACTGAACGAACGGAAAAGAAACCAAACACCCATTTTTATTCATATTTTAGGGTGTCCTGCTTTTGCGCATATGACTATTGCAGATGATTGGACAATAGATGATCTAGTATCAGAAAAAACAGTTGTCAACTAGACAGCTGGTATATGAAGCGATTCCTTTTCGATTATCGTTTGAAATTATATATGTTAATCGACAAGAATGCGTTCAAATAACGTTCTGTTTTTATCTTTTAGTTCATTTCTCAAAGCACTGATATATCTAATAAAATATCATCAGGCATGTTACAATGATGCAGAGTCGATGTTTATGAGAATACTCAGCATTAATTTGCCGATGGATGACATGATAAAACATTTTCTGGATTGTTTGGAAACAACGGATGGGATGCATTTAAACGATCACGCTGCTGAAGCAGTGAAAGCAGTGGACATGATCAATCGGAATCCAGCTCCAGAAAATTCATCCTTCACTTTGTTCTTTTCATCCGCTCATTCATGAGATAATCGCGAATTACTTGCCGTTTCGTATGTGCAGTATGTATGAACGTGAGAAAAATCAATAATTTGCGCCGCGGTTCGCTATCTAGCTGGACACAAGTCCATTCTTGATGGACACAAGGACAGCGGATCGCGGCGCAAAGTGCTGATTTCTCACGTTGTATAGATATAGATATACTGAACGAACGGGAAAGAAACCAAACACCCATTTTTATCCGTATTTTAGGGTGTCCTGCTTTTGCGCATATGACTATTGCAGATGACCGGACAATAGATGACAATCAGCTACCATTCATAGATATTTTGATTGAGTTAGATAAAACAAGAGGAAACAGCGTCCAATTTCCTTCTAACGAGGGAACATTCCCAGGTGCCGGAATCCGATTTCGTCCGTTCATGTGCCGATCGATCGGTCCTATTGAGGTGTGAAAAAGCCTCAAAGGATATCTGCCCGATTTGCTTCCTTCCAAAGTTACACCCGTTTTTCTGTTTTTCCCAGCGAAAAACGCACTACATTGAAAAATTCATAACTCAGTCA